TCGAAAAGAAGGTTAATTTCGGGAAATTTGAGGGAGACTGTAGGATTTGCCATTTGAGCCTGTTTAGCAGCAGCCCAGGTTGTTCTGGGCCCGCCATTGAGTTGGGCTGTGCTTGTAAGGATGATTTGGCAGCGGCCCATAAGCATTGTGCTGATACTTGGTTCAAGATTAGAGGGAACAAGTGAGTAATTTCAGAAGCCCATAAATTTTGTTTTCAACTTCTGTTTATCTTTTTAATGTTGATGTTTTTTATGGTTTGTCTGTGCTGGCTGTGTTTGTGAGTAAATTTAGAATATTTTTGGAGTTGTTAATGTGGTAAATTAACTATTTTAGTCACATTTGGAAGTGTGCTTGGAAAAAAGTTAATGTTGATGTTTGCAGTGAATTTTTAAAGATCGCCTGAATCTCATCTGGGTTGTGAGAATGAACCTGCGAACCAATCGAGCGGCTCGCGAGTGCTCGAGTCAAAGCTCGACTATGACCGAACTCGAGTCAAGTTCGAGTCCATATTTTGCATCGTCGAGCAACTCGAGATATATCTTGAATTACTAAAATACTTCATATATATATTACGTATAGCACAAGTGCTTAATGGTAATTTTATTTTTCCACTTAAAAAATCTCGAGTCGAGCTCAAGCATTTTGATTTCGAGCCGAGCTCAAGCAATTGTATTTTTTTATCTGAGTCGAGCTCGAACTTTATAAATCGAGCTCGAGCAGCTAAAAAAAAAAAAAAAAACTGCTCGATAAGGCCAAGGCTCGGCCGGCTCGTTCCCAGTCCTCACTGAAGGTAAGACGTAGAGTGAAAAACTGGAATATCTCATTAGTCATTACCCTTTGTTTGGTTTACTCTCTTTGTGGATATATTGAAGTTGCTGCTGTCAAAAATCAAAATCACACTACTTTTCATCTACAGATTATTAACAGTGACATAATAATAATATTTGTGATATTTCCTCTCAAATTTTGACAAAATGTATATTGCAGGACATGTGAAATCTGCAATTCCATTGCCGAAAACGTTGCGGGCCCCACCATCGACTTCGATTTTGCACAAGAAGACAGTGAATCGAGCATCGATGGAACAGAGGAATCGGGACAGTCCAATGCAGGGGTTCGAAGATGCTTAAACGGGCACCGTTTATTGAATATCTTGCTCGGTTGTCTCGTGTTTGCTTTCGCCATATCATGGCTGCTCCACTTCAATATACCGTCGTAGCTAATGATTTCAATACTTGGAAAAAATGTAATAATAATAATAATAATAGTTCAATTAATCAGACGACAATTTGAAAGCTCGATCGTGACCGATTCAAGACGCTGTGGATATAATTTTATTCGAAAAAAAATAAAAATCAACTTATATGTATAATTTTTCCTTATTCTCTTTTTGATTATTGACTACTAAAGCTATTGCAAAGGAATAAATTCAATCTTCCAATGATCAATTTTGACTAAATAAAAATTTGAAACGCGTAATTTTTTCAGATTTGATGATTTTGCCTAAACAAAGACACGACTTATCAGAGAGCAATCGGAAGTTCACTCTCACTCTCTTCACAAACTTGTTTAGTTGAACCGGAAGCAACCGGAGAGACCCGACCCGGACTAGATGATGGAGAGACCCGACCCGGAATGGAGATTGGGCCCGAAGGGCAGTCCTCTAAGCTGATGAGCTCGGCATGGGCCAGTTTCTTCAGGCCCAGTAGATTCTTCTTCCCCAGCATACTAATAAACTTGCTCGTGTCCATAGATTCTCCCACGACCAACACGCGATCCTTCTTCCCACAGTCCACCGACCTTATTCCTAATGAATATAAACAAGATTCGGAACAAGGTTTTCAAAATCGAGATTCTACGTAGAATTGTTTTGGGTGCAGAATCGGAATCGTAAAATCGTAAGACTCTACTCAAAATGTCTAAAATTAATTATTTTAACAGGTTTTATGACAATCATCAAGAATATGTATCAAAATACTAATTTATTTTTTTTAAATAAAAAATAAATTGTGGAAATTTTATATTTTCAGGATTTGATGAATGTCGTCGTACCTTCCAGTTGGACAGCCATTCTCAGAGTCTTATACTGGCAGTTGGAACAGTCTCGATGGATCTTAATGACAATCTCTTGCTGCAAAAAAAATAAATAAATAAATAATAATAATAAATGTAAAAATATTTAGCAAATTATGATCATTAACCAGTGATTAAATAAACATGGAATTTAAAAATAAGATGTTACATAATTTTGTTCAAACTTTAATTGATTACCTTCATTTTTCAAGTGGAACAAAAAAACAGAATTCGATTCAGTTATTAGGACATCTAAATGTTTATATATATAGTCATCTAAATGCATTATTTATATCACGTTATTTTATGGAAATTGGCCGATTTGCTATAGTAAAAAAATCATATTTAAATCCACTACAATCAGACAATCAAAATATGCTCAACTGTTTGAAGGAAATAAAATATAAAGTCCCTCCATATTATGTAAACAAATAATCGTTTTACAAAATATTAGAACATCATGCAAAAGTTAATTAAAATGTCCAATTTGATATATATAAAAATAATAATAATAATAATCATATTATTGGAAATAATATTTCTTTAAGAGCATAAAGAAAATATTTATTTTTATAATTATAATAATTATTGCAAGATTACTCAGATTTAATTATAAATATATTTAACAATATATAAAATAATAATTATATAACTTTTAAAGTACTTTTTTCCATTATAACACCATTCATTTATGATATTTAGTAACTTACGAATAACATAATGCAAAAACATTAATTCAACGGGAACATACACAACAAGAAAATGATGAAATCTAACGGAAATATATTCAAATAAAACTATGATTATATAATAAAAAAAAATGTAGAAATAAAAATCCTATGTCTGATACAGTTTTGCTATGGAGCCATCGGATGGTTCGGCTTATGGAGCCATGCACAGTTATTCACAAATAGTGTATTGACACGTGTCCTACAATAAATGCACTTAGGACAAGTGTCAATACACAAAGTCATGGATGGTTCCATAAGAAAACCATCCGATGGCTCCATAGAATTTTTGATGTCTGATAATCTTGCTTTTTATACTATTATTCCGTCATTTGTATTTGTATCCGTCCGATTCATTTGATTTTTTGGACCATTGATGCTCGGTCAGATTAAATTGCGGGCTTTTTTTTT